GCGGGGGGATGAACGCGGGGAGGATTGTTTAATTGCTTTTACTTTCTTCCCTCGATTCCACAATTTTCTTTACCAAAGGAAGAATCCTTTCCGCGGGGTGCGCGGGGGTGTAATAGAACAGGGATCGCCGGAGGATTAATCGAGGCTTCCCGGGATCAGATTTATCGAAGCGGAATCGGGCCACGTCTGGAAAAATGAAGCCACGTCCGTGTCGCGGGGAATTTTAAAGGTTTTGCCGCGACTTATTCGAAAGTTGCGGCACGCCGGGAATATCGGTCAAGCCACTTTAATTGGAATTCCTTCCCCGTCTTTCGTCCACGCCGCCGCCAACTTCAATCCGAAGGAAAAGTTAAGAGCGCTTATACGTGCTCCTGGATCGCTAATACTCGTTCCCACCCTTGTTTCGCCTCTTAAACTTACACCCGCGGTGGAAAAAAACACACCCCTTTAACCCGCGGAAATCCTCGACGCAGAAGGAAGTGTTAACTTGGCGCGTGGCAAAAAGAGAGTTTTTGTCCCCGATTCAATTTTCCACCGACTGATAAGGAGCTCCTGAATTTTATCCACGACCATGCTCCGTGTTCTTTCCAGCCACCTGTTCCGCCATTTCGTATCCGCTGGACTCGTCAACTTAGCTCCGAGGACATAGGCTTTAGAATTCACACGATCCCTTTTATCTACTCTATCGCGGGTAGGTATATACACCGTGAATGTAGAATATTCCAGAAGCTCCAAGTACGAGGATTACGCGAGGGAATATTTCGCAAGTGTCCGCGGAACTTTCTCAAAGAAAGACGTAAGTCGCCAGGGCTGAGAGATCGAACTCGGGGAGTTATGAATACGTGATGGAAGTTAAATGAAGAATTAACGAACGCGGAGCTACAGGGGTAGTACCTTTATGGATTAGAGTAGCAAGTTTCGCGGTGTATAGAGAAGCTCGAGAGGCAAAGGGAGAAGCTCGTCGCGAGGATTCGCGGGAATTCACGAAACGTCGGAGAGTAATGTGAAAGACAGGGGAAGAATGGAACTTACCGGGATGGCGACGCAATCTTCGATCTCGGTGAGGGGCTCCTCCGAGCAAAAGGTGCCGTCGGTGAGGAAGGGTGGCCGGGGTGGTGGCGGCAACCGGAACTCGGGGGGTGGGCCGGGGCACTCAGGGCACTCGGTGCTCTCCAGCGTCTCCAGCTCCTCCATCCTCCACCTCAGCGTGCTGAAAACCACACGGAAAATCAACGCTCGATTAATCTTATTGACAGAACTATTAATCGACGCGGGGGAGAAGCTTTATCTCTCTCCGCCACCCAGCGCCTCGCTGCCTCTCGTCTAATTTATTCCCCCCCCCCCTCTTCGCTGCTACAGCACGCGCGAACCAACTTGCATCGATTTTTTTCCTCTCTTCTCTCGGAATCGAACGAGTTTCTCCCCGGAGAGAGAGACCGAGTTAAATACATCCCGCGGCCAAACGCTCGCACGGAAACAATCTACGAGCTCGCTTCGTTGCTGGGAACCTCGTTACTCGTTGGGACCGCGATCGTACGCGCGCCGAGGAGCGTCCTTTCCTTCTGCCGGCAGAAAGAGAAAGACGGAGAGTGTGGAGGAAAAAGGAGCGAAAGAGAACGAAAGGGTGGCCGCCGCCGTCGTCGTCGTCGTCGTGGCTGAGATAAACTAGTTAGCAACGGGTATCGTCGAGGGAAAACAGGCTGGTGGTGGTCTAGGCGAGGAACCAAGGAGAATGAGTCTGCTCTGGAGACTCCAGAGAGGCTTTGGGTAGAAAAAAATGGCTGGTTGACCGAGAAAGTTCGCGGCCAGAGGGGGTTAAATTGATAACGGGTCAGGCTCCCCGTGGCGGACAGTGGATTTCGCCGGCTAATTAAGAGATACGCGTCTGCTGGTCCCGTCCTAATGGCCGGTGCCCAGGGAACAGAGAGAGAGAGAGAGAAAGAGAGGAGAGGCTCGTAAACGGGGGTAAACGCGCGGTTTTTCTACGCGCCACACGCGTATAGCTTTTGTAGGATCGGTATCTCGTTAGCATAGGAAGCACCTTTGGGTCAAGTCGTTCCACTCGCTGCCGACCGCCTTTGAAACGGTCTCCACCTAGTCGGTATGCTAATACAGGGACTTAATTACAGTCTCATAATGAATCAGTCACGCCAACAGTTCGTCTGCCTCCTCCTCCCCCTCTTCATCTATCCGGGCACACACGATTGTATTCCCTTGATTAATTGTTTCGGTCTCTCTACCGACGATGAGTATACGCACGGCGTATATCATTGGAACGGAACAGACGATACGACGCCAACTCTATTCGTCATCCGACGCGCGATTCCGTTGATTGATTCCTACCCTCATCTGTTTTGACTTTCTTCGATCTGTACAGAGATACCGGGTAGATATTACGTTCGCGGTGAAAGCTTGTCGGAAGTACGAATTTCTTGGTTTTCTTTCTTCGAAATGTGTCAAGTCTAGGAATACACCGTGCTTTCTCGAATAACGGAGGCATTCACGTTCAAGTGGTTCCTAGGCAACACTCCACTCCACGTTTATCTCTCCGTGGAACACTTGACCAGCGGTAGCTCGTTCGAGCTGACAAGTGGAACGAGTCAGAAGAAGAATAGCGAAACAGGGGACCTATTAACCGTAATACCAGAGAAATCTAGAAACTACTCGGTAAGCAACTGTTGGAGAGGGTGATCTGCTTAAAAGGAAAGTCCCAAGGCAGGGTAAAAACCTGGTCGATTTCTCCGGGTGAAGGTTGAACTCTTTGGAAGAAAACGGGGGAGGGTATTGAAAAGAAACGGGCATCGGTGATGAAGAGGGTATCGAGCCACTATTTTACACGCGGCGTGCTTCGAGTGGGAACTGGGGAGGAAGGAGAAAGAGGAACACGTCCGCGCTCAGTTTAATAAATGCAGCCTTCCTTCCGTTCCGTTTCTTGGCTCGGCCGATATTCCAGCTCGACGCCGACGACGCTGGTACCCCGCGGTGCCTTTTCCCCACCGCCCACCTACCGCCGCTTCTTCTCTCATTCACATGCAGAGCAGAACGCGGA